TATTATTACTAATACACTACTACTACTATTACTACTTACTACTACTATAGAAGAGATGACCGGTATTAGAAGTATTAAAGATGGAATTGAACGACCTATATATGGCTTATGCCAGGGAACACTAACCCGGGCCTTAGCAACGACTATCCAAAATTCTCCTTGCTTATTCCTTTCGTTAAAGCCAATATTTTTGATGGAAGGGAAATAACCAAATGATTAAATATAAGCGTAGTAATTTATAGTAAGTTAGAAAATGATAAGCACAGTAACTGATAAGTACAGTAATTGATAAGTACAGTAACTGATAAGTACAGCAACTGAGTATTAGCGTTTTTTTAGGATGATTGAATTGTTTACCATACAGATATTTACAAACATAAAATTTAATTTACAACTATCATTAAGAGAGCTTTGTGGATATTTATGCATGTTTGTAAAATTATGAACTTTTAAAGTAATACATTTTATCAGTTCACACTTTATCAGTTTATCAGTTTATTAACACTTCGCCTTAAAAAAAAGATCCCATTGATTGGAATTATTACAATTCATTCATAAGTGATAATGGTTGATTTTATCAGTTGCTATCATATTTTATCACTTCACCTAAAAAGGAAAATTCCATCTTGATGGCCAAATCCAATTTCCCACACTTTGTTCACTTCCAATATTTAAAATTAAGAATTTTTGAAATCAAAAGATTACTTCCATTTTTTTTTCATAAAAGTATTGAAATGAATAAAAAACTTCCATAACCTTTGAATCTCTTTTGTAGTATTTAGTATCCAGTAACTGTGCTAAATTAAGATGGAAAAAAATCACTGAAATTAATTCATCGCAATTTTCTTTCGATTCACTTTCAAGAAACTATTAAAATGAATAAAAAAATTCCCATGACCTCTGACCTCTTCATGTGTGGAAGAAAAATCTCTCTTGGAGCATTTAGTATCTATCGCTGAACTATGATGAAAAAAATATGTATATTAAACAACTATTTTTCTACAAGATATTTATACTTCATCGCCTCCTTTTTTTTGCCTGATTTAATTTTTAAAAATTAAATTTTATAAATACAAATTTTAAAAAAAATCTAATTTCTTATCAATGAATATTATTATTATCATTTTTGGATGATAAGAATGTTATCAGATGTTATTATATATTCAAATATATTTGAATGCAAATGATACGATATTTTTAAATCTTTTCCAGTTTTAAGATTTCTTTTTTATTTAACCGAAAAAAAGTGCTATAAATGGAAAAGAAAAAAATATGACAGAAATATTTATTATCCTTTAGAAAAGTGTAAATGGAAAGAAGAAAAAAAAAAGAAAATTTGATTTTAGTAAGATTTTGCCTTGTTCGAAGTGTTTTGGCATGTACGAATGAGGGCTACTTAACTTTGTGCCAAAAGGATTTTGGCCTTCAATCAACAATTCAAGAAAGAAGAGGAGTAAGAATACAAAGGAAGTGTAGCAATTTGATCGATAGATAAGGGGTAAAGAATAAAGAATGATGATGATGGAAGGGGAAGAGGAGCGCAGATGGTTCCGATCTGTAACAGATGAGAGGCGCTTAAATAACATTCTCATTTTGAAGTGAAATGGATAGCAGCTACTATTCAATGCTGTAATTATTGGCACTGATAACCTTATCATTTATAGCTACACTTTACGATGTCAATCGAATACGTCATAAAGTACTGATCATCTCTAAATCATTCTAATGATTATAATGATAATAAATTGATGATAATAATGATAATAATGATGATAATGATAATAATGATGACAATGATAATAATGATAATAATGATGAAAATG